ATGCTGTACTTTTTCTATATTTAATTAATTTACGAGGCATTGTTTTTATTTTCTCTTTAGTATAGAAAAATTTTTAACTTCTGATCCAAAGATCCTTATACCTTGAATCGCATTTACTGTCACGCTGTAGTTGATGAAGAAAACCGAGCGAATGCTTCTATAGGTAAAAATAGTCAATTTATTATTAATCGATCATATTTATAAAACTAAATTTAATGTATGTTTGTAACCGATGAAGAGTATGAAATATTAAAGTACCCTAAAAATATTGAAGCACCCTAAAAATATACTCCATCCTTTTAAGCTAGCTCAAAAGTTTTCAAAAATTTAAAAAAAGTTACTATTAGCTGTATACCAATATCATCTATCAGACAAAGTTTAATGATAAAAAAAGGAGAGAATACAGTTTTTCTAGCAAATTTTGCGTTGCGAAATATACTACTAAGTGATTTGAATACTATGTTTGGTTTTGTTGTAGATTGTTTTTTAGTTTGTTAGCATTAATGAGTAAGTGCATGCAATCAATCGTCCAATGTTAGTATTCATACACTCTCTAGCAGTCGCACTTGATCCAAGAACCAAAAATGGTGTAGGTTTTTTAGCCCGACTTTAGTACTCATACACTCTTACCAGTCATACTTGATCCAATAACCCAAAATGATATAGAAGTCGGACCTAGGGTCATAAAAGATATATATAAAAAATTGAAAAATTGGGCAGTACGAGCAGTTGGAAACAATCAAATACTAAATTTCAATAATTCTTTATAAAGTCTAGCAGCTTGTTGATGCACAGATATCACAGTATTATGCAGAAAATAAATTAAATAGTATTGTTGCAGGTGCTGTAGGATCAAATGGAAAACCGAATTTTATCTTATCCATTACAATGTTGGTTCGAAAGAGCTACTTGCTTTCACGTGCTAGCTCATGACAAAGAAAATATTATGTATTTAGGAAACATTAGCTCCAGTTCAACGCTTATTCTCCACAGCAAGTAACGTAATTGAAAAACATCATACAAAATTAATACTTGAAATTTCTTAAGATTTATTTTTCTTACCTGATCCATGACCAAAATGGGAAAATGTATAACAAAGTATACTAGATAAATAATTAGTCAACTAGATAATAACTATAATTATATGTTGTATATTGGTATTTTTCAACAATATATATAGAATATGATGCTGCGTGCAGTAGCATCTGAAGGTGATAATCTCCTGGGGTGAAAATGACTAAAAAGACATCTTTTTAAAATTTTTATAATTGTTAATTCTTTTCTATTAAAAAATATATTTTTTTCATTGTATTATTTTAGCGCTCTCTAAACGACTTGCACCTGGGGCCAAAACTTAGTTAGGCCCCCTTTTGTTACGCTACTCGCTACGAGGTATGACTTGAAATTCTTTATTTAAACTAATAAAATATTTAGATAGATTTTAAAATCAGTAAATAAGTTTTTAACTTTTACTGTAAAAGTCTGTCTAATTAAGATGACCAGCTTCAGTTTTAAGCTGAAGCTGATTGCTAAAAATCAATCAGCCACAATCCCTGCTACAAAGTCCAAGACAAGTAGTTCAACTGAGCTAAGTTTATACATTTGTTTTAAATTGTTATTTTACAGCTTTTTATTTGAATTTTTTTTTGATAGCTCAAATTGAAAAAAGTTATTTAACAAAACAGCTTTAGTGCTTTTTAATTAAAAATAAATGAATGAAACTATTTTGGTTTGGCTTTTGTGTGTAGTTTAATAGAAGTTTTTAAAAACTCCACGAGTTTTTTAAATGAGATACTGCAATAACAACATAGCTGGAATTTATACGAGTTACCCAATAGGTTACACCTTATAAACGGTCAAATTGCGGAGAAATCCCGGAGGATTTTTCATATCGGTCCCGAGTAGCCGTGGCACAGTGGCTAGAGTTTTTTTTTAAGGTCTTAGGTTCAACGCCAGCTTTAGCCGATCAAGCGACATTGGTACGGAAAGAGGCGTAAACTTCTTGTTAAATGCTCTCTGTGATAAGAATTTCTGGGAGCACCTAAAATAACTTTAAAAAAAGTAACAAACTCATATAAGTCCCAAACGGTTTATACACGAAGTATAATCAGAACCCATATGAGATACAGGCAGGCAAATCAATATGGGCCATAGAAGGAAACCGCGTCCACAATCAGGACGTGGTTTTCCTTTTGGGAAATCCCAGTTGAAGACCCGTATCGGCTCTATACCGTCTTGAGACTCATTCAATTGTCTTGTTTTTAGTCTTGGTATTGAATAAAAATGTCTTAATCTTAGTCTTGGCCTATGTTGTCTCTGGATTTTATTATTATCTTATTATGCATTATAAAATGTATGTATATATATTTATTATTTATATATTTATTTATATATTTTATATATTATTTAATCATAATTATAATATTTAATCATAATTATATATTATTTAATTATAACAGATAACTAGTGTATTAATACACTAGTTACCTAAAGTACATTAAAGCTAGTATAACTATCATTATAAAACTTATCTAATATAGATAAGCTTAGATACGCAGTGTATCTGATAAGATTAAAATTACAAAAGATAACTAGAACTAATTTATATATATTTTTTAAATGGGTTTAGTTTGCATAAAAATGTTTGTTAAAACACTTTATCGTTAAATGTTTCTTAAGTATTTAAAAACTTATGATAAATGGTTTTTTCAATTTTAGTTCTGTTAAGTTGTTTTTGTCTTTTTGTTGACGCGACCATTCAAGTCGACATTTAGTTAGTGACTAGATCTAGTAGGGATATTTGTTATGTTTTTTATTTACTATTAAATAGCAGAACTATTAGAATATTATTATTGTTATATGTAAATAATGTAATATTTTGTGTATAAATCCTTTTATTTTTACATTATTATTTTATTAAAATTATACATTATAAGCTCACATGTTTGACTGGCTGTATAAATGATGTTGTTCATCACTTTTTATGATTTATAAAATTGTCAATTTTTAAATTTAACATTCTTAAAATTAGTTCAAAAGCTGTCTAAACAAAGTCGTGAATCTACAGTAATTTTGTAAATATATCAGAAGAGAAGTTAACGCAAAAGATTTTAATTCTCAGTTAAGTATAAGCATATAAAAGCAATGTTTATAAATTATTCACTATTATTTATTTTATTTTATTTGTTTATATTTAACTAATATGAAGTGCCCGCCTTAAGTGAAAATAAATTAATTTATGCACACACTTTAATATTTCTTATGTTTTTATATTACTATACTTAATAAATTACATATTTGTTATGTTTTAAATAGATAAGTAAAAATATAATAAATTTTTAATTTTAATAGTGTGTGAATAAGTTCTTTTATTTTTACTTTATCATTTCATTTAAATTACGTGTTTTATAATATATATATATATATATATATATATATATATATATATATATATATATATATATATATATATATATATATATATATATATATATATATATATATATATATATATATATATATATATATATATATATATATATATATATATATATATATAAATGGCTTAATATTATATATATAAAGACGTGAAGAAAACAGGTTTGTAAATGATGTTGTACATCATGGAGATAGTTCAGATGAAGAAGTAAGTTTTATTTTTTAAATTACAATTTATATTTAATACAATATTTGTTGCTGCCTTGTTCTACATAAATTTTACAACAAGCAGGTAACATTTATATATCTATTAATTTACATAAATTTTTTTATTTTAACTATATCATTTTATTTAAGTTACATTATTGGTAGAAATGTTTGACAGGAAATATAAACGATGTTGGACACCATGCAGATAGCTTGGACGATAAATAATGATATATTCATTGCTACTTTTTTCTATATAAATGTTACCAAATATTTGGCATTATTTATGAATGCGTATTTATAAAGTTATAATAGATAATAATTATAAGTATAAATGAATTAGTGAATGAAGAAAATTAGTTAGTATGTATATATTAGTTGTATGAGCATTATCTAGATTGTTGAAATGGACAATTATTAACTGCAGTGAAAACAATAATGAATATCAAAATGTGAATGGTACTTTGTTTGACGTCTACCTGGTATAGATGCAGTTACAGTTGGCGGTGCAATCGCACTTATTAATGGTCTTGATTTTTTTTTGGATTGAGTATGTTGTACTGATTATTCTTTTTAATTTTTTAAAACTTGAAGTTATTAGTAATCAAATATATATATACTATTTTTATCAAATAGTTAATATAAAATAATAAGCATGTAAATTGTTATATTTTCTTGTTTTATTATTTATAAAGAATTGTTTTATTAGTGTATTTCAATTGTTTATCACTATGTATGTGATATACATAGTAATAAACATATAGTATTATATTACTTGAAATTTTTTGTTTTTTTTATTTTCAGTATGTTTATACATATGCATGCGTTAAATAATGTGATAAAGTCAAATTTTAATGTTTTAGGTGCATTAAAATTATTTTTCAAAGATTAGTAGGATTCAACAAGATTTAAACTTATTGATTTTATTCGGCGATAACAATTCCATAGATTAAAAGAACTCGAAAATATTAGCAACTTGCATGACAAAATTCGCTTTTTATGGTTTAATATGACAATTCAAATAACATTAGATCAAAAAAACTTGAAAACAAAACATGCTATTTTACCATGAAAACTCCATGAGTTTTCCATGGAAAGGTGTTCCAAATACCCATGGATGGAAAAACCATGGAATTTCATGGGGTATTTGGAACACTTTTTAATAGAAAACTCATGGGTTTTTCATGGAAAACTTTAAAATTTGCAATAGAGTGCTGGAATAAAAAGAGCAAAGAGACATTTTAAAACAAATACTTTAAGAAAGAACTGTTAAATGAAAATCATTGGAAAGATTTTTTTTTTTCAGCTTTTAAATATCATTAAGTGTTCAATAAATTTAAAAAATAATAATAATCTAAATTTTTCTATTCCTTGTTTCTTTTTTACTGAGTTTAATGAGATAATACATAAGTTACTCAATTGACATATTTGTTACTCAAAATACTTAGTGTGTGCATCTCAAATTACAAACTGTTATTAAAAGTTAATAATATAAACATCGTTAGCACTATTGCCACCCTTACCACCTGCTCTGCAATTATTTGCGGTTCCATACATTTGGTAAGAAATGCCGTAACCAGCAAAGCATTGTCCTCCGTCCTGAATTGTAAAAAAATCATATTGGAGTTCGGTTGCTATAGTGTAACATTTTGCAATAGCGTCTAATCGGTATAAATACGAATCCATCAGAACCGAGGCTAAGCCTTCTAATGATGTTCCTGCTCTGTGGACAGTATAATCCCTCCAACAACCTACATACTTATATAACAATTTTTCAGTACTTATGTACACTTGATTTGACATTACGCTTCCTTTTCCATCGTTTTTACAAGCATTTGATAATCCATATTTTGTGTACAAGTTATCATTGCTAGCTGAACAATAACCTCCATCTTGAACAGCGAATATTGCAAATCCTCGTTCCCTGGCTGCCTTGTTGCACTTTTTAACAGCATCTAAACGAGTTTGGTAGGAACCATCTAGTATTGTCGATGATCCTTCTAATGTTACCATGGCTCTGTTTAAATTGTCTTTCCAGCACCCCAAGTTATTCAGTGGTAAAGAGATCTAAAATAGAGAGATAAAAATAAAAATACATGAAAAGAACTTAAAAAAAAAAATTGCAACAGAGTATACAGTGTAATAACATTACTGTGAAAATATTTATATACTTTGAGCTCTGTTAAATGAAAAAATACTTTGTTTCTATTATTTTTACCAATATAAATAAAACATTTTTAATTTTGTTTCTAATTATTATATTCATTAACAAACGTTTTTATTACAACATATTCATTAATTATAACAATATATTCAAGTTCATAGGATTGAAAGACGTTAAAGGATCGAATGTGCAAATTAAGCATTTATATAGCTTTTAAAAATATAACAAAAAATAATTAAAGTTAATTTTATGTCTTTTACTTGTTTCCTCATATCAATTATATCAGAAAGCATAACTTTAAGTATACGTTTCAGATGTTCTTATAAGTAAATAGAAGTCTTTTCTCTACTAAACCTTATGAAACCTTAGGTTGTCTGATGCTTCTTTGTTATGTGTAAGATAAGGCACACTGCATGGTATGTAGTAATTTATGTTATTAACAAGTTTTATAAAACCTAGGGTTGCTATGCACAAAGAAGAGTTGTGACTTGATAAAATCCATTTAAAACATTTACCTTATAATATCTAAAAAAAACTCGATTTAAATATTCCTATGAAAATTAGTTTTAGAGAATAAATGATTTTTTTCAAACAAACTTAAATCTTGAATTACCAACTAAAAGCATACAATTGTATATAAAAACGTTATCAAACATTATTACAAAAATTATTAATAAAGAAACTGCGTTACATCAATTTTGGCTTAAAAAATCTAAACTAGTATTTAAAAAATATCGGCCTTTTTTGCTCTTTTAATACAAGGAATTTTTCAAAAAAATTCCTTTTATTAAAATTAGAATATGTTTTGCGGGAGACATTGCAAGATTTCATCAAATTCTTGAAAACGCAACCAGCTACTTGGACTTTGAATTTGCTCCTTTGCTTTACTTAATTCCAAGCGATCTTGCATTAAAAACAGTATTATCAACGGTTTAGGATAATAAACTTTTACAAGCTCCAGAATTAGCATTACAACAAGCTTAAATGGAGTAAAAACAGAAACCAAAAGAGTCAACAGAAAAAAGCAACTCAAAAAAATTATGAATACATTGATACAAACAACTATAAAGAGGAGTTAACTACATTGGTTATATTTGGAGGTGTACTAGTTGTTTTATATTACGGCATAGAAGATGTTATATATTGAACAAATTTATTTTTTATAAATACAAAATGGCTCAAACTCATACATTTTATTGGACTTCAAATTCTAAACATACACATTAATGATTCCGTTAATAACATCAATTCAGAAATTGATTAAAAGCGAGTAATTTGGCAAGGCGGTCCAGGCTGTCCAAACATTTCTATTAGTTTATTGAGTGTGATAAATTAGCTAGCAACACAGTAATATATCAAGGCAATCCAAGAAGAATAATTGATACTTTTTGATACTTTATTGATACTTTACGCTTTGAAATTTGCAAAAAAAAAAAAAAAAAAAGCAGTTATCAAGTGTGGGTACCTCAAAATTTAAACTAACATTTGTTATCTCAATTTCAACTTATTGACCAGCTTCAATTAAAATTTTATAAAACTTATAGAACACTGATCTCTAGAGATCAGTGTTCTATAAGTTTTATAAAATTTTAATTGAAGCTGGTCAATAAGTTGAAATTGAGATAACAAATGTTAGTTTAAATTTTGAGCTTAAAGCTTCAAAGAAAGAGCTCTTTCTTTGAAGCTTTTCTTGTATTTGAAATTTTGAATTGAAAAAAAATTGAAAAACTCAAGCTTTCAACAAGAACGGACGCACTTTTTACCTGGCGAAAAAAAAAAAAATTCTCATTTATTATAAATAATGACGTATCTTTAATAAAAAATTTTAACTTAATAATATGACTGTAACACTTCCAGAAATAAAGAAACTTTTAAAAGAAATGTTCAAAGAATTTAAAAAGGAAACGGAAGAAATGAAAAAAGAAAAAGCAGTTCTCGATATTATTGGCGCTAACATCAAAATAATAAACGACAGATTTGAAAAAGTAGAGAAAAATATTGATGTAAATGCAAATTGTATAAAAAAATTAACAAAAGAATTAGAAGATATAAATTAATTTTAATGAAGGACTTATCGACGAAAAAATAGTTACTAACTACAAATATCTAGATAAAAAAATGGAACATACAAAAATAGATAATGTATTAAAAGAAAAACAACGAAACTTAGAAGATCGATCACGCCGAAACAATCTTAGGATTGAAGGAATTTACGATGATGAATGATAAAGAATCATGGGGGGGGGGGGGGGGGATACTGAAAAAAAAGTCCAAACATTCTTCACCGAAAAACTTGGACTAAAAGATGTTGAAATTGAAAGAGCTCACCGCACTGGACGAAAAAACGATAGACGACCAAGGACTATAATATTAAATCTTCAGAAATATAAAGACAAAATAAAAATATTGAAGGAATTGTATTGACTCAAAGGCACAAATACATTCGTGAACGAAGATTTTTCTCGAGAAACCGTCGCAATTCGAAAAAATTTGTTCGCTGAAGTGAAAGAAAGGCGATTGAATGGTGAAAGTGTTACGGTAAGGTATGACAAAATTGTTTATATTAAAACTTCTTTTAAAAGCAATTTTAACGAATAATTTTATGGGCATTCCTAAAAAGAAATCTTAAATAAAATATATTAATTATGGCGACAAATGAAAACTTTGAATCTGGTGTTTTTAAATTTCAAAAAACAAATTACTCTACGTTAAATGAAAACTTAGACTCTGATAACAATATTTATCACAATAAATTTGCAGTTTGTTCATATTACTTTCCTAGCCAACTAGAAGGGTTTCTTTTTTAGAATGAGCGTGAAAGAAATAATAATCAAATGTTAATTCTCCACCTCAATATAAGAACCCTAAATAGCAATTTTGAAAAACTTATAGACTTATTAGAAGAAACTAAACATGTTTTTAATATAATTTGTTTAACGGAAAATTGGACTTCTTTAGAAGACCTAAATAATTTTCATCTACCTCATTTTAATACAATTTCAATGGAAAGGAAAACAAATAAGCGCGGTGGTGGAGTTTTAATTTATGTTCACGAAAATTTTGAGCATTGTTTTAGGATTGATTTAAGCGTTTCTGACTGTGATAAAGAAATTGCAACTATAGAAATTACTAAATGCAACAACAAAAAAATTTTACTAAGCTGTTGTTAACGGCCACCTGATGGCGTAAGCGAAAACTTCAGCATGTTTTTACAACAAATTATTAAAAAAGGTACCGTTGAAAAAAAGCAAAATTTTATAATTGGAGATTTAAACATGAATTGTTTTCTTTATAATGATAACCTTAAAGTTAAAAATTTTTATGATGAAATTTTTGAAACGAGTTCAATATCTTTAATAAACAAACCTACAAGAGTAACGATAAATTCAGCAACTCTAATAGATAATATAATAACTTCAGATATTTTCAACAATCATTTAAAAGTAGGTATTTTGCGAACCGATATATCAGGTCATTTCTCTATATTCCTAAAATTAGATAGTACAAACTCTGAAAAAACTTTAACCGCACAAAGAGTAATTCGAAAACGCATTTATAATGAGGCTAACCTTAATTTAATCAAAAATCAACTTTCATTTCTGCATTGGAAGAACATAAGTTTTAATGATAATGCTAACAATATCTATGAGTCTTTTTTTTAAACATTTTTTTCTGTATACGATGCTAATTTCCCAATCATTGAAAATAAAATAACTACTAAGAGCTGCAATACACCCTGGATCACTAAGGGCTTCAAAAAATCGTCCAAAATTAAACAAAAACTATAAATAAGTTTTTTGAAAATAAAAACACCTAAAAACGAAAAAATTTACAAGGACTACAAAAATCTATTTGAAAATAATTCGCAAAAATTAAAAAAAATTTTTTTACTCACAATTACTCAATACATTTAAAAATGACACAAAACGCACATGGCAAATAATGAATGAAATTATTGGAAAACAAAAATCATGCTCAGGTTTTCTGCCACAAATGGTTAGAGTCGATAAAAAAAGTTTATACTAACCAAGAACTATAGCTCAAGAATTTAACAAATTTTTTATCGATATAGGTCCAACACTTTCTAAAAAAATCCCAAAGACCAAATCTTTATTTACTGATTTTCTAGTACCCATTGATAATTGCATTGGTTCAGTTGAGTTGTCTTCTGAATTATTGTTTGAAGAGTTTGAAAGAGCCTTCAAATCTTTAAAAAAAAATAAAGCAATTGGAGCAGATCAAATAAATGGAAACGTTATTATAGATTGTTTTGAACAGCTAAAAGTTGTTCTTTTTAAAGTTTTAAAGCTTCTATCCATCAAGGTGTTTTCCCCGAACTGTTAAAAATAGCCAAAATTAATCCTATTTTTAAAGAAAGGGACAAATCAATTATTAGTAACTATCGCCCTATTTCTGTTCTTTCCACATTTTAAAAAATTTTAGAAAGAATCATATATAACAGAGTATACAAATATTTTCAGGTTAATAAATTACTTAACATTAATCAATTCGGTTTTAAAAAGGATAGCTCAACTAAACATGCAATTATCCAATTTGTACGTGAAATCTCATAATCATTTGAAAAATCACAATATACTCTAGGACTTTTTATTGATCTATCAAAAGCTTTTGATACGGTTGATCACCAAATTCTAATCTATAAACTTAAACACTATGGAACAAAAAATAAAGTTTTAAAATGGTTTGAAAGCTATTTGTCAAATTTGTTCCGAGTAACGACGGTTATCATACCAATTGTCTTTCTATAACATGTGGAGTCCCAAAAGGCTCAATACTTGGTCCATTCCTTTTCCTAATTTATATAAATGATTTAAATAAAGCCTCTAAACTAACAAGTATTATGTTTACAGATGATACTAACTTATTTCTTTCTAACAGTGAT